TTTAAACGATTAGTATTAATTTCAATTTAAACCCTGGAGACTACCTAGGCATGCAAAGAACACAGGTTTAAGGAGAGAGTTAGAATAGGAACTTGCCTGTGAGATTTTGAATTAAAATCTTTACGTCTTCTTCCTAGACTTTCCGGCGATCCCTCGCTGTTCCAACTCCTCTGTTTCCTCCTTGGTTTAACACACAAACGACACCCTTTTAATCCTTGCTTGGGTCAGCCTTAGTCCTAGCTAAACCCTAGTTTTTCTCTCTCTGTTTATCTCAAGTCTCTGTTTCATTTTGCCTCTAGTATGTGAATATGGTTCTAAAAACCCTAGCAGACATAACCCATAATATATATATACGGCTAAACCCTAAGTCGGATTATACAGTACATATATAAGCTTCCACTAAACCCTAGTTCTAAACCCCAAACTAAATTATAAGCCGGCGACCATAGTTACATAAAAATAAAACCCTGCTATATACCACACATATAAATTACAAACCAATTAAGTCATACAAGCCATTAAATAAAACACGTCAATTAAAACACCAATTAATCAAATAATTAAACTAAATAACAAATAAACAATTACAATTAAATAAATAAATAATAGACCAATTTAAACACATAGCCAGATAATTATATTTAAATGCACATAAAACAAATAATCAATTAATCAATTAAAATGCACATAAAACAAATAATTAAATTTTAATTATATCATTTTGAGAATTAGGGGTATTACACTTTACATTGCTATAATGCATAAATATAGTTAAATAAAAATACCTCGATTTGTGATAGTAAACCTTGTTGAAATCAAGTCTAACGTTGAAATTCTTTAACAACAAACTAATATGCAACTCCAAACAATAGGTAAACCATGAAAACTAATTTATCTCTCTTAGCCTTTTGCACACATAAACATTATACGTGTTATTTTTATTAGCGTACATAATGGGATATATGCACTTTTATAAAGGTAGAAAAAGAACCAGTTTTCTTTTTAGTAACTATAATTCCACTTTTCATCAAAGTAAGAAATAAATAGGAAAACACTTCCCTAATAATTAATTACCAAAAAGGTAATTAATAAGTTGATCAAATAATATAATATTTATCTGATATCTATTTATTAAACTACTAATTAATGAAATATATCACATGTCCAAATCATGTGGGCCACACAATTAACAAATAGTGTTATATTCTCCCACTTGGCCCATATAATAACTTCTGTAGTGGTTTAGTAAAATAGTCATTAGTGTGCACTATAAATCAAATTAAGTTCTTAAGTTGGTCATCATAAATACCATGCTAAATAAATTATCAATGCGAGTCATGACGGTTATATATCACTAAATAACACAGTCCCTTTCATGTACCACAACACTAGTAAACTATTCAATAAAGTCTATAAATGAGAAGTATCAATAATGATCTAACAATAATATCTTTTCTAAGACTATTCTTATTATCACTTATTAAAGCAATACGTACATGTACATTAATTAATAGGAAATATCATAAATACATTTAATGAGCGCAAAACATCAAATATATATAAGCACCGTTAAACAATTCACAATTAAAAAATATCTTGGGCGGTAGTCCATTCGTTAATGGATTGCAATCATAAGTTGTGTACATGTTCAATAGATACTTGTCGTTGTTTCTAAATATCTTCTTTAATGATAAAATATTTTAACTTTAGAATACGTATCATTTTTCATACAAGAAGATCATCAATTGCAATATAAATTTTCAGTAATCTGAAAATGGAACCCATAACTCTAAGTCCTGAAATAAATTCTGCAACCATAAATTGTAACCTCAAAGTAGGCTACAAAGTAAACATAATAGACAAAGTAATTAATTTATTGTACTTTTTCATAATATTGTTCCTCCAGCCAAAAGGAATAAATAACCAATTTTGGATTAATTATTATCCACATATTTATAAACATGTATTCCTAAATGTGAGCATATAATTTTTTATCCCTTACTAATTTATATATACATCAAACTCCACAATTTATGCGTAAGCAATATTTTTCGATTCTTTACCTTCTAGTTAACTCATTCTTTGGGATTGCATTAAGCTCCTGAACCGTTAGCCAAATCCGGTACCCGTTCAAGGCTTCAGAACTGCTTTGGTAACTTCAGTTTCCTATTCTGTTTTGAATCCTTTTTTGACCAAACTTCTTTTTATATCATATGCACGAATTCTAATTGTTTTAGAAGTGTTATTAGGTCTTCCAAACTTCTATATAATACCTCTTTCATTCATTATTAATGTTTGACTTTGAGGAACATCAATTCTATATTTTGAGAAAGCCTTTAGAGAGATAAAATTCAGAAAATCAAATCTGATTATTTTGAATGTATTTTTGAGAGTACACACATATATTCATGAGTGATTTAGTAGTATTGTTCTCTATCTCATCGGAATTGGAGTTTAATTGAAGATTCAGAGATTTTGGAAAAAAAATAGGATTTAATTCTTCTACATCGAGTTTAGATTTTGAAGAAAAGAAATAAAAGCGATCATACTTTGAAAAGATTAAAACATTTGAGGAGTATTATTTGATTCTTTTTTTACCTGTGCAACAACAGCCACAGGTTGAAACAGATCTCCTGTTGAACAAGAGACGATTTTTGTCCAAATACCATTAAAAAGGCATCTTTAACGAGATAAAAATCGTCTCCTATTTCAGCCGGTGGGTAATTTATGGTTCTTGTAGCGTCACATAAGTGGGGATGGATGAAAAAAATTTGTCGCATACTAAATGTTATTGTTGTCCGTATGATACTTTATACAAAATACAATAACTTTTATACATTATACAAATATATATATATATAAAATAGTGTCAGCAACAGGACTTTTGGGCTGGTTTGAGCAAGCCAAGACACGTGCACTGGATTGGATCTAAGGGGTCAGCTTATTTTCTACTCCGTATTGTTTTTATGCATCGCCGTATATGATGAGTTTCCGTGTTTAATGGGCCAACCACTACCTACCCATTAGAATTTTAAAAAGTGTACCAAAAAAAAAAGAAAAAAAAAAAAGGAGGGGGGGGGGCGGGGGCTAGTTTTTTGTTACCTCTTACCTGCCTAATAATAAATCTCAATCTCTTACTCCAGTAGGGCAATAGATTGGTTCCTAATTCCCTAGAGGGAATCCTATGCATCCTTTCATGTGCCTCCAAACCACACTATACATATTAAAAGCCATCTTTCTTTAAAAACTATCTAAAAAACTGTGTTTTCATATGTCGCTATGATGCTATCTAAGTATCTAACGGTAACTTTGCCATACTAACGTCATTTTACTCCAGTCATGCAACATACACTTCAATCTTACGTCAGTTTATTATGTTTGTTACTATCTGCATGTTAGTTGATATTGGGTTTGTGTATGGGATTTTTCTTTTTTCTTTTTTCTTTTTTTTTTTTTGTAAACACTTGTACTTATTAGTTATTATTCCCTCTATCAAAACAAAAACAAAAAAAAATTCTTTTTAGGAATCCACAGTGATATGATGATTTATTTTTTATAAATTCAATGTAAAAAGATTAAAATAGTAATGTTAAAAAAAATAAATAATACTATCTACTTTTCAAATGGAACACTTATTTTAGAAGAGCTAAAAATAGAAAAGCAGACACTATGCTTTTGAACTGAGTAAGTATATCATTAGATATTTAGTTTTCAAATTTTTTTATTGCTAAGAACTTTTTTTCTTAACCAACAAATCTCCTATTCGAGTTGTACACAGTATACTGCTCAAGTGCATTAAATGTCCATTTTGGATATCAACTTTGAATCCCTAAGCTTGAATTGTACAATGATGGCCTATCAAACTTGCACAAAAATAAATAAGTAAACAGAAGAGTTTGGTTAGGAAAAAAAAAAAAAAAAAATTGTGAAAAAATAATTTTTATAATCACTTAACTTTTTTACAAAAAAACACAGGAAAGTTTTGCTTTGTTAACAAAACTATATGAAATTGTTTATGCATGATTTTTGGTAAGAATATTATAATAGTTACCCTCCCCTCTCTCCCTATAACAAAATTTTATTATTTAGATTCTTATATTATTTTTAATTTTTTAAAAATAAAAATATTTACTAAATTTAAATTTATTTAGACCTACATATTTAATATAATTAAGATGAACAGTTTAAGTAATTCATAACATTTTCTATTAACTTTAATGTTATTCAAATTATAAAATGAGATTTTTCTCACAAATTTATTTTAAAAAAATTGGCTGCCCAAATAAAACTTAAAAAGTTATTTTCTTTTTCTTCATATCACTTTCATTTTCTAGCATATATTTTCCTCTAGCCAATGGGACCCAGGGCAAAAAATGAGGAGCAATAAATGCTCACAAGCTAGAGGGGAAAGAAGATGTGTTGGAGCTAACTGAAGTAATTGTCAGCGAATGAACCAGACAACTGGTTGATGACCTTAACATCATCAACATGAATTTTTTAATTGCAGAACCAACTTTTTTAAGAAGACACCTATGATTTTTTTAAATGTCAAACAGTTGTAGATGCAAGTATAATATTGCAATTTTGAAATAGTTGCAGATGCAAGTATAATATTTTTAAATGTCAATGATCTCTCAAGTCTCACCTTGTAGTGGATCTGAAATAGTTGCAGATGCAAGTATAATATTGTAATTTTCAACAAAATTCGATCTACGAGTTGTAATAAGATTGACTTCATAGTAATTCAAGATGAATATTGGGGAAGATATCAAACACTAATGATAATGAGAATCATACAATAAAGAGAGAGATTTGAATGACAAGCGTAATACAAAAATGATTTACACGGATTCTCACAAGTACTAATACAATTCTAATTTACGGTACATTTCAGATTACTAATGCTGATCCAGACGAATTAATTAACAAGATAAAGAGTTGTTGGAACAAAGGAATAGTAGACATACATACACACTGATACACATGAAATAGTTACCTTGCTAGTTGCGATAATAAGAAAGAACGGTGTAGATGGAGGACAAAAGTGTGATGAGATTCAGGATAATGGCAAAAGCTACTGCCATTTGTGTGTTTGCATTAGCAAGAGCTAGTCGCCAAGGTGTGCAAAAATCCCTCACCTCCATCCACAGATCATTGTAAAAATGGAATTGATTACTTACAATACTTTCTTCACTGGTAATATTCTTGAAGAGTTCTGACACCTTTTCACTGTAACCCAACGTGTTACTAATGACTCCGGCTTCTTCAAGCAATTCAACATCTTCTGCAGAGTCCAAGAGGCTGCTCATGGCGACAGCATAAGATGTGAAGTACTGGTTAACACCGGCACAACAAAGCTCGAAAGCAATGAGGTTTCTCAATAATAATTCAGTAGATCTATTGATAGAGAAACGTGGGATTTGAAAATGAGCTCTTCTCCACAACCAAAAGCAACAACGATCCGTGCTAAATTTCAAATCAAATAGGCTCTCTCTTCTGATACGTGGCCCAAACTTGACTCCTACACTTTGAAGTTTTGTTGCACTGTATTTGAGTGTAGTTTTCTCTTTGTGTTGGTACCATTTCGGTGCCTTCTGCAAAGGAGATTGGTAACAAATGTGTAAAAAATGGAGTATATGATAAGGGAAATTGTTTTCCAGGTTTTCTATTTCACCACCAATATTTTCTCGTCTCATCATCATATCTCCAAAGAATGAAACGACACATCTACGGAGGGAGACTGGGCGGCCCGATATAGTAGTACTATCCGGGATTGGTTCCACTGTCAGCTTGAACAATTCATCAAGAACAAAGAAGGGGATTTGGTTCTCGAGCAATAGCAGGTCACGTCTGACCTGATCATACTTCAAATGGTTCTGCAAAAATGGGTCAGACATCCATGTCTCTATGACCGGAACGTAATTCTTGTAGAGAAGTTCAATTATGAAGCAACCATCAATCACCATGCATGCCATGTCTCTTACAGAATAGAAGTCATCACCATACCTTTGGGAATAGCATTCCATAACACGGGACATCAAGTTGAACATAGCTTCCGTACATTCTGCTAGTACTGTTGCCGCAAGTGTTCCATTTCGCTCAAGTAGCTCACCCATATACCTCTTTTTCACGGCCTCCATCTCTACTAGATCTGGTCTTCCTCTCCAAAGAGGCCCAATAGATACGCAGCTTGGACGATAGGCGTCCTCATTTTGTACACGAAGCACATCCGGGACCCTATACATGCCATGGACCCTTGTCGTGCGTAGTTCGCCAGCCATCGGAGTGTTGCTTGATCTGTTTTCACGTATATCACTCCGAAGAAGCTCCAACATCTCCTGAAACTGTGATTCTCTTCTTTCGGCCATTACCGATTTATTATTATTTAGCTAGCTTTGTGTTTGTCTTGGGTTGGTTTGAGCAAGCAAGCCAATACCACTGCACTGCACTACAATGGATCTAAGCGGACTTATATGTGTTGTTTTTATGAACTGGCCGGTAATTTTATATACTTAGAGTGAAAAGGCTTGGCGGTTTCCTCTTAGATTCCATCACTTATTTAATAATAATAATAATAAATCTCACTGCAATTGGATCGCACCAAATCCGCTGGAGGGAATCCTATGCAACCCTTCCTTCCTGTGCTCAAAACTATCGCTTTTTATATACTTAGGATACATCTAGGTTTTCTTTATTTAATTCATTTTTTATTATTATTTTGGGATTTATTGTTTCTAACATTCAAAACTTTGTATGTACATCCCACTGAATTGATCAAGCAACACTATGTCTTCATTAATGCAACATTGTGCGTGTTCTTGGTCCGTGCAACACTTCAATCTTACATCATTTTATTATAGTTATTGATTGTGATTTTTTTATAGAAAAAGTAAAACTGATTTTCATAATAATAAAATATAAATATATACAATAATATATACTCGTATATAAATATATATACAATAATAATAATAATAAAATAAATAAAACTAATACAATTTCATTTAGCAATAGCACCAGCCATCATGTAACTAAAACACACTAGAACTTGGATCTTGAATTTTGAGGTACTTAATAAGCATTGACTCTGATATAACAAATGTTTCCTTGATGGTTGAATTAGTCGGTCCATTCTTCAGCAGAATGCAACTAGGACCTTGTTCCACTGCATATGTAAATTATGCATTGATTTAAAAATAAAAAATAAAAAATGCCATTCATTTTCAGTTTTTCGAGATCACGACTTGACTCAGAGATCTTGCCATCCATCAATTAAATTATCACACCTACGGTCCAACCAATCAACAAAGAATCGATAAACATCCTTTAGTTCATGTGCACTCAGTATTTCTAACATCTCTTATTCAAAAATTGAACATAAAACTTTGATACCATTAGCGTCCTCAATGAAAGATGCCCTTATCTAAGGTGTGAACAAGCCCCATAACATCTATGTCAGGCTTTTGGTCGAAGACTCGATGCATTCAAAATGACTTGCTTTCTAATGAAACCCCCTACAAGGAGAATGGATCGATCTTTCATATAGACGATAGTCTTTTGATTGAACCATCCTTCACCTGATGTTGTTACAGAGACAGTTCATGTCTCTGATTCCAAATGAACACTTGGTTCCATTTTCTGAGCACAACGTTCAATCCTACCTATAACTGAAAAACAAGAATAAGTTTAAAAAGTCCTTTCACTGGTGTACTATTAAAAAAATTATACAAGAACAGATAGTCTAACGGAGAGAGGGGAGCACAGGTTTAGCTTATGACGTGTTTGGAAGGCTTTGGCCAAACGAGGATTTCAGAGTGTGACGACAAGGAATTCCATTAATAATTGGCCGTTTTGTATAATTTTTCTCTACCATTTTTTTATTTACCTTTTCTCTTGCTCTATTCGTACCTATTTCTGTTCATTGCTCCCACAGAATTCCATGTTCTATAACGGCAAAACCTTATTTTATGGATCCTAGAAATATCAAATTAACCCACATATCTATTTTCTTAAAATTATTTCCTACTCCCACTGATGCTGATCCTGCCTTCAACGAACAGAAGCAAAGGGCACACCATGACACCTACTAAACACAACTAGTTATTTCTGGAATCAAATTGAGGACCATGACACCTACTAAACACAACTAGTTATTTGTGGCATCACATTATTGAGGTCCATAATATCTACCAAACAACAGATTCGTTATTACAAGAAAAGGGCACACCGTGCGTGAACATGTGCAATCGTAGACTACTTACAATATGCATCCAATAGTGGTGCTGCTGCGGGTTTCATATGAACAGAGTCACTCGTCTTCAATATTTCAAATAAACCAGATAACTATTCGGAAGCAAGAATATTTCAACGGAATTTGCATAATCAAGAATAAAAACAAAAACTAAAATGAAGAATATAAGTAGCCACCGAACATTAACTAAATCAGAACACATAAAAACAAAGCAACCTAAAACAAAAACAATCGAAAAACACTAATTTTCATAACTGCATAAAATATCCAACGATGTCACTGCCAATGCACTTAAAACAATTATACAGTTTAGGCTTTTGATCAACTCTACAAACCTCATACTTCTCAAAATAATTTTCGATTTAATTTGAAGTGACAAGCAATGAAATGACTTTTACTGCTGTGTAAAACTTCTAGCAAATGAAATAAAAGTTAGTGATTGATTAAGATTTACTTACAAGTAACTACAACTTCTGGTCTGTATGAGAACTTATGATATTGGTGGCAACTGCTTCAAAATTGTTGCTTTTGGAGCTTCAAAATTGCTCAAACTCGGCTCATTGCTCGTTTACTAAACGAGCCAGAAAAATGAACTTAAGTTCGGCTCATTTAGTTAACGAACGATCTTGAGCTGAGTCCCGAGTGCACATATAAGAACGTTTGAGATCACATTATAAGTACCTTGCCGTTGGAGTACACTAAAAACGTATGAGATCACATTATCAGTACTTATTGTGTAATGCACTATAGAGTGATTCTTACTATCCCTGAGTGCACATGACGCTCCACTACTCTAGAAAGAATTTGCTTCCCCCAAATTTTTTTTTAAGTAATTGCATGGTGCTTATGGAACAAGAAAATTGCACATGCCCGATAATGCAGTATATATGGAGTGCCCATACCACCATTGTTGAAAAAAAAGAAGTGATTAAACTCATTTGCCATGGCATGTAAGCATTGGAAGCTCACAATTATCTATTCACGTAGTATTTATTTTTCCTAAAAGTTCAAGCACACTCAAGCTCTCACTCACAATATTGTCCCAGATGGGCTCAAACACTCAACTTAAAAGGAAAAATGTAACGACCCACTTCACCACATGGTATAATATTGTCTGCTTTTGGCCTAAGCCCTTACGGTTTTGCTCTTAATCTTCACCCCAAAAGGTCTCATACTAATTGGAGATGACACACTTACAGATGTGAGACGGGGACATTGGGCCTCCAAGAGGGGTGGATTGTAATGACCATGTGGGCGGGTGTGTCGTGGACGGGTGCGAGACACTAACAGGCTACCACACTGGCGAGCTACGAGTGCACAGTCCTACATCGCCTGGGTAGAGGAAAGGTGAAGTGCTTATATGTAAATGTGTCATCTCTAATTGGTACGAGGCCTTTTGGGGTGAAGCACAAGTGCAAAACCGTGGGCTCAGGCCCAAAGCGAACAATATCATACCATGTGGTGGAATGGGTCGTTACAAAAAAAGATCAATACCATTTAAGCTATTACCCATTATCATTGGAAGAGCACATTTTTGTTTCTAAATAAATGATAAATTATGCAATTATTACAAAAAGAAGGCAAATTCATTTCCAGTTTGTAGCCTGCTCTCTTAGGCTGCTCCTTTCCTTTGGTGTCTGCCATTTGGTTCTTGTTAGTTTGTTTACCTTGTAGTGTTGGTTTAGCATTTGCTTTCTATATCTGCTAATTTGTATTTCTGTTATTAGGCTCTTTTCGTTCATCATCATTTGGTTTAGTGTCTCTTTGTTCCTAGGCTCTTTGATTCACATCATCTTTGGAGTTTATTTCTATTTCTTGGTCATCCCGTAGTTCTCTTTCCTCGTCTTCTTTTTCTGTTTTGTGTTTTGTTGCATCCTTATGGAAAAGTCAGTTCTACAACAGCTTGAAACTCATGCATGTAATGGGTGATTTCAATGAAATTTTGCATAATTGAAAGAAGAGACGTGGAAGGTTGAAACCTATGCGAGTGTAGCCCTCTCGTCAAACCATGCATGCCAAAGGAATTTCTGAAGAATGGTGGACACTAGACAATTCATGGATTTAGGCTTTCAAGTTTCAAGGTCATCCTTTCACTTGAGATAATGGTAGAGGAGGATTGCCTGATAGTGTATGTAATGCTCATATTTCAGCAGCAGACTCTCATTATTTAGTTTTCTTCTACTCAATACAAATCCTACCCTCTTTAAAAAAAGGAATCAGTTCTTTAGAAAAACAGGAAGCATCTGTGTGATCCCTGGAGTGAGGAAGAACTCGTCTGAAGACAGAAATCTAGAGTTGATTGATTAAAGTTGGGTGATAAAAATTCGCAATTTTCTACTTGATTGGTAGGTTTGATGAGTCCATGACAGCATCCATTACTAACAACCAAGTGTGTGACAGTAGAAATACAAGAATAAATCAGGTCATGAATAACATAGTGGTTTTTTAACCGAATTCAAGTACTTCTCTGGGGGCAAAGTCTATGTTCACAGCTGGGGATTAATATGGAACATATGAAAGAAAGCTATAATCTTGGACTTCCAGCCATAGGCGTGTGATTTTTGGTGGGGTGGAAATGAGGTTAAGAAAAGTTTACCCTGGACCAAATGGGATGTGTTGTGCTCTTCAAAGGACCGTGGGCTAGGGTTTAGAAATTTTGAGGCGTTTAATCTACCTCTCTTGGCAGAACAGTGTTGGAAGTTGCATGCTGGGTTATGAGCTGTTGAAAAACAAATACTTTCCAAACAGCTCTTTCCTCGTGTTGGATTGGGCTGTGCCATCTCATCTGAAAAACCAATTGGTGTCCAATGAGGGTAAGACAGATAAGACACACATTTTATGGTATTCGATCCAAGCCCACCAGTGTAAGGAGCGGCATTGTGTGCTACCTTGCCAACACCTTGAAGCTTCTCCAAGATGCCGAGCTTTGTGGGCATGGTCTAGTTTATTGGCCGCAAGGGAGGTGGTTGCTAAAGGGTTGGGTTGGAGAGTTTTTGACGGAAGGAATAATTCACATTTGGAATGATTCATGGCTTAATGTTGGTGTTAGAGGCAAAGTCATTACTCCAATATTCAACCCAAATTTACATCTTTCAGTCTGACCAACTGACAGAAAGGAGTGGCCCAATTAGTGTTACTCATGTCTTGTAACATGGATAATACACTTCAGATGATAATTCAACAGCTTATAAACAGACAATTAATTTAAAAGGACATTGATTGGGGAATATATCAAACACTAATGACAGAATCATACAATAAAGAGAGAGAGATTATGTATAAAGGTTCTAATATGAATGACACGCATATAGATGACACTACATAAATGACTTACACACATTCTCAAAAGTACTAATACTATTCTAATTAACGGTACATTTCAAATAATTACTGGTGATCTAGATGAAACAACGAGATTGATTTATTGTAACAAAGGAATAGGCACACACACATATACTTCAAGATCGACATATATAAATACCTACTTGTTGTGGTAATAAGAAAGGACAGTGTATACGGAAGACAAAAGTGTGATGATATTCAGGATAATGGCAGCGGCTACTGCCATTTGTGTGGTTACATTAGCAAAAGCTAGTCGCCAAGGTGAGCAAAAATCCATCACCTGTCTCCACATATCCTTGTAAAGAAGGTTTTGATTTCTTACAATGCTTTTATTGCTGGTAATATTCTTGAAGATTTCCAACACTGCTTCACCCGAATCCAAATGGTTGCGTATGACTCCAGCTTCTTCCAGCAATTTAACATCTTCGGCAGAGGCCATGAGGATACTCATGGCAAGAGCATGCGATGTGAAGTACCTGTCAACACCGGGACAAGTATACTCAAAAGCAATGATGTTTTGCAAGAATGTTTCAGTGATTTCATTGATAGAGAAACGTGGGATTCTAAAATGACCTGTTTTCCACAAACAAAAGAAGCGACGAGGAGTTGTAAATTTCAGATCAAACAGGCTTACTTTGTTACGGGTCACAAACTTGACTCCTACACTACGGAGTTTTGTTGCGTTGTATTTGAATCTAGGTTTTTCCATATGTGTGTAAAATATTGGTGCCTTCTCTAAAGGAGATTGGTGGGAAATGTGTAAAAAATGGAGTATGTGATAAGGGGAATTGTTTTTCAGGTTCTCTATTTCACCACCAATATTTTCTACTCCCATCATATCTCCAAACAATGAAAGAACACATTTACGGAGGGAGACTGGGTGGGGCCCTATAGTAGTACTATCCGGGGGGATACGTTCCACAGTCAGCCTGAACAATTCTTCAAGAACGAAGAAGGGGATCTGGTTCTCGAGCAATAGCAGGTCACGTCTGACCTGATTGTACTTCAAATGGTTCTGCAAAATTGGGTCAGACATATATACGTATTTCTTGTAAAGAAGTTCAATTATGAAGCAACCATCTAACAACATGTATCTTACATAATAGAAGTCTTCATAGCTTTTGGAATAGCAATCCTCAACAAGGGACTTCAACTTTAACATAGCTTCCGTACATTCTCTTAGTGTCGCCCCAAATGTTCCATTTCGCTCAAGAAGCTCACACATATACCTCTTTTTCACCGACACCATCTCATTTAGATCTTCTCTCCACAATCTGGAAAGAGGCCCAATAGATACGCAGCTTGGAGTATAGGCGTCTCTGTTTTGTTCAAGAAGCACATCAGGGACCTCATACATGCCATAGACCCTTGGCACCGACAGTTCGTCAGCCATGAGAGACTGTGTGTTGCATGATCTATTTTCATGTATATCTCTCTGAATAAACTCCAACATCCACTCAAGCTCTGAATTTTCTTCTTTGGCCATTACCGATTTATTATTATTTAGCTAGCTTTGTGTTTGTCAGGACTTGTGGGTTGGTTGGTTTGAGCAAGCCAGGACAGAGCTGTTCTGGATGGATCTAAAGGGCTATTTGTATATGTTTTTATCTACTGCTATATATATGCATGCAGTATACTCAAGTGCATTGACTTTTCAATAGAAACGTGTTCTGTGCAATGCTATCTTGTCCCTTGCCAGCTAATCCTCTAAATGTGCAAATGTCGTACCCGGAGCCGAGTCGGTCAAACCGTGTGCACAGATACATAAACTATTTGAATAGAAGTTATGGACCCTTCTTTACTAAAAGTAATTCTTTCTTGTACCCCAATTCACTTTGTTCTTGGATCCATAGGAATTCCTTTCAATCACGAAGGAGTGGATTTGGATATATTATCCAAATGGTTAAATCCGGCTATAAACCTTTTACATCAAAATTCGAATGATTTGATGGATTGGTATGAATTTGTGAAAGATGCAATTTTTTCAGTTAGTATAGCTTATTTTGGAATTTTTATAGCATCTTTTTTTATATAAACCTGTTTATTGATCTTTGCAAAATTTGAACTTAATTAATTCATTTGATAAAATGGGGCCTGAGAGAACTCTTGGGGACAAAATAATAAATGGGAGATTGGTCATATAATCGTGGTTACTCGCTCTGCCTCAGGAACAAGTCACCATGAAAATCAAAACCTTTGCTGCGAGATCTCTCACTATTGGTTCCAAACCTCCACATCCTTGACGTGCCCCGATGGAAAATCCTGACCTGCTCTTTCCCAAAAGAAAGATGGCTAACACTACAACAAGACCCGAATTTCTATTGAAAAGGAGTTAGCTGTCTGCGCGAGTCACCTTCTTCCAGGCTCTGCCAGACGATATGTCATCCTCGTAAAGTTTTTTTTGAAAAAAAAAAGGCATACTACTACTGATGGCTACTTTTTTAAAGTTTTTTTAGAAAAAAAAAAAAACAAATGGATTAACCTGAATAGCCCGTCCAACCCAGGAATATTCGGGTTGGGTCTCACAGGTTAAAGCCCGAATCTGTATTATCTTAGGTTTGGTTGGACTAATCCGAAGTCAGGTTGAGGTTGGGTTCGGATTGGGGGTTCCGATTGGGCATGCCCAAGTTGCATCCCTAGGCAAATGTAAAATCTTTCAAAAACCTAATTTTGAATCTCCAAGTGTCCTCACACACTCTCTTAGATTCCTAAAACATTGTTTTTTTTTTTTAATCATGGAGTGTATCGAAGTATGAATACGATCAATCTTTAATTCCGTTTTCAATCTTGACAAATCGAACTAAAAATTTATAACTCAATCGAACTCGTTTTGACAACGAAAAATGCCAATCACAAAGTAATATATGACGTTTAGTCGAGAGGGATGTTGGTGGAACCAGTTTGTGGTGTATGTGGAATGAGCTATGAGATGGATAAATATGATATGCTGCTAATGCGGAAATTAAGCCCGCTTTGCTTCAGTTGATATCTACACAGTTGTTGATTACGACTTGATTCTTGCACAAGGCCTTTATTTTATTTTTTTTTATTTTTTATTTTGATGGCAGCTAGATTATTTATTTCATTGACCATTTCATCTTATTATGTAGCCCCAACAACTGCTAATGAATGATTATTATGATTTTTATTTCAGTTAAACCCATTATTAGGGTAGCTAGAATATTTATTTCACGGACCATTTCACCTTATTATGTAGCCCTGACAGCTGCTAATGAATGATTGTTATGAATTTTATTTCCGTGGAACCCATTATTAGTTTGGGGCTAGTTTATTTATTTCATTGACCATTCCACCTTATTACGTAGGCCCTGACAGCTGCTAATGAATGATTGTTATGATTTTTATTTTACTGGAACCCATTATTAGGGTAGCTAGAATATTTATTTCACTGATCATTCCACCTTATTATGTAGCCTTGACAACTGCTAATGAATGATTTTTATGATTTTTATTTCTGTGGAACCCATTATTAGTTTGGGTAGCAAAATTATTTATTTCACTGACCATTCCACCTTATTGCATAGGCCCTGACAGCAGCTAATGAATGATTGTTATGATTTTTATTTCCATGGAGCCCATTATTAGGGTAACTATATTATTTATATCACTTACCATTCCACTTTATTACATAACCCTGACAGCTGCTAATGAATGATTGTTATGATTTTTATTTTTGTGAAACCCATTATTAGTTTGAGTAGTTAGATTATTTATTTCACTAACCATTTCACCTTATTACATAGGCATTATAGCTTCTAATGAATGATTGTTATGACTTTTATTTAAGTGGAATGCATTATTAGTTTGGGTAGCTAAATTATTTATTTCAATGATCATTCCACTTTATTATGTAACCCTAATAGCGGCTAATAAATGATTTTTATTTCAGTTAAACCCATTATTAGTCTGGGTAGTTAGATTATTTATTTCACTAACTATACAACCAAAATTTTCATCAAGATACAGCCAGCTGCAAGGACCACCACATTTAAGTGGGTTTCACCCTAATGTACTTTGTCAAAATGAGGCACAACAACCAAAGTTTTGTCATTCTAATGTGAAATTTTCTTTTTGAGTGAGATTTGGTAAAATACAAATAGAAAATGTAATGATAATAATTGTGCAAGGGGATTTACAAAAAAAATAAAAACAGAAGAATTTGGTTAGGAAAAAAAGGAAAAATTTTGTGAAAAAATAATTTTTATAACCACCTAACTTTTCACAAAAATTTTCTACAAAAAACATAGAAAAGTTTTGCTTTATTGAGAAAACTATATGAAATTGTTTATGCATGATTTTTGGTGGGCATATTATAATAGTTACCCTCCCTCTCTCCCTATAACAAAATTTTATTATTTTGATTCTTATATTACTTTTAATTTTTAAAAAATTAAAATATTTATTAAATTTAAATTTATTTAGACCTACATATTTAATATAAAATGAACAGATTAAGTAACTTATAATATTTTCTATTAACTTTCATGTTATTCATGAAATGAGATTTTTTCACAAATTTATTAAAAAAATTGGCTGCCCAAATAAACTTAAAAAGTTATTTTCTTTTCCTTCGTATCACTTTCATTTTATAGCATTTATTTTCATCTAGCCAATGGGACCCTAACCAAAAAGAAGGAAGGGCAAAACCGCAGAAAAATGAGGAGCAATGAATGCTCACAAGCTACAGGGGAAAGAAGATGTGTTGGATCAAACTGAAGTAATTATCAGCTAATGAACCAGACAACTGGTTGATGATTAACCATAGCATCACCATGAATATTTTAATTGCAGAACCAACTTAATTTTTTAAGGCCAGAAGACGACACCTAGGATTTTTGTAAATCTCCAATGATGTCTCAAGTGTCAACTTGTAGTGGATCTGAAATAGTTGCAGATGCAAGTATAATATTGCAATTTTGAACAAATTCGATCTACAAGTTGTTATAAGATTGACTTCATAGTAATTCAAGATGAATATTGGGGAAGATATCAAACACTAATAATAATGAGAATCATACAATAAAAAGAGAGATTTGAATGACAAGCATAAAGATGGCAGTACATAAATGACTTATACGCGTTCTCACAAATACTAATACAATTCTAATTAACGGTACATTTCAGATTACTAATGGTGATCCAGACGAATTAATTAACAAGATGGAGTTGTTGGAACAAAGAAATAGTAGACATACATACACACTGATACACATGAAATAGTTACCTTGCTAGTTGCGATAATAAGAAAGGACGGTGTAGACGGAGGACAAAAGTGTGATGAGATTCAGTATAATGAGGCATATGGGTGAGCTACTAGAGCGAAACGGAACACTTGCAGCAACACTAGTAGAATGTACGGAAGCTATGTTAAAGTTGATATACCAAAATTGCGTAGATATAAGGTCTCTTCACTATTTTGACTCTGAATTTGTAAGAGACTCAATGTTAGATGTGTTGGGATTTATATGTCTTGGTAAAGTGAATTTTTATTTGGATTACAGTAACATATATTAACATATTTAAAATATTTATGATTTATATAATTGATCAATTTAATGTATTATGTTTCGATTCATTATGGAATTAATAGTCCACTTGATTATAAGAGATATTTATATATGTATCTGATGGCGATCAGTGCATGAATATAAATAGTAATCATAAATTATTCATAGTCGGTAATTATGAATGGACTAATTATTAACTAAAATTTGAACTGGATTCGCGTTAGGTTGAGATATATTGCGAGAGCCGTCGTATGTAATTACTTTTTATCATGGTTATGGCATTTGACTCTTAAGCATGAGAGAAATATAAACTTTTTTATTAATTAATAATTATTTTGATTTCTTCGACAGAATTTTTGGAAATTGCATACGACGGCTCTCGCAATATATCTCAACCTAACGCAGATCCAGTTCAAATCTTAGTTAATAATGAGTCCATTCATAATTACCGATTATGAACAATTTATTATTACTATTTATATTCATGTATTGATCGCCATCAGATACATATATAAATATCGCTTGTAATCAAGTGGACACTATCAATTCCATAATGAATCGAAATATAATACATATATTTCACCAATTATATAAATCATAAATATTTCAGATATGTCAGAAACATATGTCACTAAAATCTAAATAAGAATTTGCTATACCAGGACATATAAATCCCAACATATCTAATATCGTGTCTCTTACAAAATAGGAGTCAAAATACCGAAGACACCTTATATCTACGCAATTCTGGTACATCAACTTTAACATAGCTTTCGTACATTCTGCTAGTGTTGCCACAAGTGTTCCATTTCGTTCAAGTAGTGTAACGGCCCAAGTTTTTCAATCCGGTGCATCAGTGATGAACTGAAAATTAATCCGATAACGGATTCGAAATGTGGAAGCAAATGATAAACCAAGGTCTTAAGAGATATGAATCACTCCTAAGACACTAATGTGACCTTTCATGAGATCA